AGAGGAATGTTTCGGAGTAGTATTCATATTACGAAGACTGAAGTGGATGTCAATGCTGATATGCGTATGAAATGCATGAGTATGCGGAAGCAGATGGCCGCTTATGCGCATGCAGGTACAATGGAAGAGGTACGCTCACCGTTTGTTCTTACGGAACTCATTCGTTCCGTTTTCCGTCACGCTCTGTTGATTCAGACCAGCAGCCGCACAGCGGCGCATGACTTAGGCAGAATGTTATTACCCTTGTATATTTTCGATCGACACCGATAGGACAACGGGGCCTTGGCCCAAAGTCTATAGGCGTTATACTCCTAACTAACAGGTCGCGTATTGGAGATTGAGGTGTTCCACACTTCGTGGTCGAGGATGACTGGCTGACGACGGCTAGTAAGCCAGAAATGGCCATTCCAGTCTCCCTTGTCTTTGTCGGTAATATAATTGTGCGGATGCAAGTACGTTAGGCGAACGTAAAGGCGGTTGACAGTCAGGTCTATTGAGTACCTGCCCAGTTGGCTCTTAAAGGAAGAAAATGTTATCCCTCGTTGCCCCACTACAAAACACCTTCTTGATCGTGGACTCTCAGTCGAACCTAAAACTTCCTTCCGAGTAATTGTTCGGGCACTAATAACTCGGATATCGCGTTTCTTGGAGGCGGCCGATATACGGTAGGTGAAATCACATCTTTGTAAACAGGTAGAAAATGTATTTAGCCTGACCTTGCCATGGTAGCCTTTAGCTCCATAATTTCACTTTCCCTTTCTTTGTGCATGTTAACGTTTTTCTTCCGCTGGGTTACTAATTTTATCTGTTAGCCGGCCTTACGCAAAACCATGACCTTGTTGATTCTGCATTCGTTTCCTACACGAATTTAAAACTTTGGACTCTTTTAAAGTTGTGGAAATTCACAAAGCAATGCTCAGAAGACGAGGCGACGAGCAAACGTTGCTTTCGATAACTTCTCTTCGGGCTGGGGCACTGTGGTTGAAAAATTCGATAAATGTTAATTTTAAAAACACAGGTCATGCAAGTGCGGAAAGGCGCAGAATGTTGTGTGGGTAGTCAACCTTTGACCACGGTAGCGCGGCTCCTGAACGAGGTTTTTCTGGGCGCATAGGTCGGTTTACGTAACCTGATGGCGGCCGCTTCTGCTATTGTTAACAGGCGCTGGCCCAGTAGCTTAGGGTAGTTCGAGGGGACCATATATATCACACGAAATGCTTCAGCGCGGCCCACAGGATGCCCTGAATCCACTGCATGCGCAAAAATGGCGCTGTCTATTCACCTAGTTTTGCCTTTTGCCAGCCATGCGGGAAGATGCTCTTGTGTTCCTTTGGAAAGACGCCGACTGGTTCGACCAGTATAGCCTGCTCAACAGGAGCAATTGAACGAGTAGATGCACATTGAGGTGGTCTGGGGTGACTGCCACCTCTAGTTATCTGCGCGTAGCTCCAGCCGAAGCAAGAAATTTAATTCATTTGATTAAATTTACACCAGGGGTTCAGCAAAGAAAAGGAAGAATACCTGCCGGCCTGTGAGTAAACTTGTAAAAAAACGAAGAGCTCTTCTAGTATTTTGACCTTCCAGCGTTGTAAAGGAACATATCAGCATAGTCCAGATATATAGGCATGTGTTATTTTTGGCCGGTCGCCGACCACACTCGCCTCGGCTAAGAAATCGGTTGTACTATTTGGTAGATAAAAAGCTTGCGGCTTTATTGCTTAGACGTAGAGCCCACTCCAAATGCCTATTTTAATACACCGCGCCATACGCCTGACCACTTCCAACACCATCGCTTAAGTACTCAATTTGACTAAAGTAGGATACCTCGATCATTTTGGCGATTGATCTCAACAGATATGCTCACTCTTAATGCCCGCCGATCCTTGCGAATTTCCACCGGCCAGTATAGTAAACTAAAGTCTTGTGAGCGTTTGCTTAGCCAGTATCAGCAAACCACGGCCCTCGCAGCCTGGTACACGCGTGCAGTCCCCTGACACCTGGTTTCCTGCCGGCAGATGCGCTTGCGCTCCCGTTGGATATACAGGTTGTGGGCATGGCTGCCCAGTCATCCTCGTCTTTCTGACCCGTTGTGGTGCTGTTGTTGGTTAAAATCCTGGTCATTTCCTGTGTGGACCAGGGGGTGTGGAGTGGAACGCCGAGGTGCGGGTTCGGCCGTGTCATCTACCTGCGTCCTTCTTGCCTCCGGTTTTCTTAACTCTATCTTGACACCGGAACCAGGTGAGGGAGGAGGGAGTGCGGTGATGCTGTGCAAGTATACATTTGCTATAAAATAAATCACGTGCAAGTCACCGTGTCTGCTTCGACTCGCTGTGAAGCACACGGTGGGCATCGTCAGCAACTACGGTCGAATCGGCAATTTGATAAGAGTCCCTGATTGTCGACCGAGATTCTCCGAAGTGCTCATGGGCTTAGTAAAATTGTTGGTGATAATTACGGAGGAACATATTATAACCATGTCATGAACAACTAGTGCAATAATTCGAATGTGATAATGCAGTTTGGTGAAACGATGGACGGCTGAGGCTCATGGCTGTCACAAAGCCGCAACGGTTTTTGTCCACAGTGTGCCTCTGTGCTTGGCGCACATCGTTAGCCGTGCGATCGAGCAGAAGCGGACTTCAGTTGACTACTCTATTATGCTGCTTCGCTGAGCCTTTAGCCAGTGCTAGGCTCTCCTCCTATGCTGCCAACCATTTCGCGAGTTTTCACTCATACAAGATCCTCACTTAAAAGAAATCTGCGAACTTATGATTTGGGTGTGTGTTTCTACCGGAAATGAAGGCGGCAGAAACACGCAGATGGCCAGCGAGTTGTGGCTCCATGTCCAGTGGCTGGTTCTGCACGCCAGAGCTCGTTCCCGATTATTAATTCGTTGTCTGTGTGCCTAAAGAGGGAATCTGCTGCTTGCTGTTCTGAACACATGCAAAATGCTGTAATCCTAGTCCAACTACCAAAGTTGTATGATGGGTCATCACCAGGTAGCCATGTGCTTAATAAGGTAGGGTGAGGATGCCTAGAGAAAATCCTGATAAATCGGAATGACTTTAGTTTGTCTAACTGGGATTACCGTTGTGGCGCTTATGAACAACAATTTAGAGGCCGCATACGTCCTTTCGATCGTGCAACCAAGGAGGAATGACTTGAAGTTTGTCGTAGTGAACAGGTTTATTCACAGGTACTATTGCTGCGACTAAATCGGGGAGAAGGAACGACGCCGCAGTCTCGATTACGTGCACGTAAACTGAGAGCATACTAAGCAGGCTGCGTTCCCAGACTTTAGTGATAATGAAAATAAAAGGCACACCCTTGAGTTCGACGCTGCGAAGACTTTCGGTGGGTGTATAACTTAGGGTGAAGGACCCTAACCAGCTGTCGGTATACTGTGGATTGTGTCCTACGGCAGTGGTGGTAAGAGCGGGAAGGGTTTAGGGGTGGGGCAGCACGCCGGGCGGTAAGCTAAGGAAATGCAGGACAAAAGAGAAGACCGTCGGTTGCGAAGACATATTTTCGGGTAAAATAAAAAATGTATTCAGATACGGTATCCAGGTGGACATTCCATAGCATTGTATCCTGGAAGAGTGCATTTTATCGAGTAACTGAGTCTATATTTTGGCAGAAATTTCCGTTATCATTTAATTTATACTCAGTTGATCCCCGTTGTCTGTTTCTCCACTCTTAGGTACGACTGACAGTCACTAGTACTTCATTAGATTTCACAAATGCATATATTGGCACACGACCCACACTTCACCGACAGCTAATTGGGGTCCTTCACCCTACTGTTGCCTGGCTTACAATGTAGGCTTAGTTTGCGGATGTCAACCGGTAGGTCACCCACCGCAACCTGCCAACTTATGGACCACTAACAGGGGTCTCAGACCTTGTGATGATCAATAATAGCCACCCAGTTTTACACAATTATTGTTATTGTCTAGTGTTATTGTCTAGCAAACAAAACTGCCGAAAAGCGGCAGATAAGGTTGCTTTCCCAACAAGAATAGCGATCACATACCCCTCCCAACCTATTAAGGAGAGGTATTTCTGCTCGTCTTCGTAGTGATGCACCCTTTTAGCGTCAACAGGGGACACCCGAGACATACCAATATTGAAACCCCTGACTAAATGTTTATGGAACAATCCCCTGGCATGAAGACTAGTAGATATTCAGCGTAGTCAGCGAGGTGCAAACTGTGCCCATCCTCTACAGCATCCGTCAATGCGTCATCAGACACAGCCCATTAAGTAAAGAACTTTGCCTCCGTTCGTAGCTTATCGACTCAAGAATTGGAGCGGCCAGCTTTCACAACAGTTTTGAGATAATAATTGCGACGTTTTTGTAGTCTACTCCATCTCAATGCCTATGATAGGAAATAGTCATAACGTGAATGAAAAGGGAGCCTTTCTGGTAGTATACCGAGTCCGACAAGCCATTATAAACCACTGCTTCAACCTTTGCAGACAACGGCGGAGGCGACAGCCGTCAGGCGACGTAAACAGGTCGCGTGTGTACAAACCCGACACCGTCATGGCCAAGATCCAGTCAGAAAATTAGCTGACAATCCAGATTAATTGTTTCAGTGTTTCTCGTACTGCTCGATCAGGCTTACTCATCACTCTCTATTTGGTCAAAATTTAACTGACCGGACTTCTAATATCAACCCACTGTAGTGTAGTACCATATTACTACTGAATTCCTAACCCCTTTATTTCTCGAAACCAGCGATTGTGAGTAGAACAGTTCTGCTTAACTTAGCAGTTGCGATGAGCCCGAAGACGGCACTTACTCGTCGATAGACCCGATTATAAGCAAAATATTTCTACTCTGGTATCTTGTGGAGGGGAAGTAAAAAAAGTTAAGATCAAACGTGGCACATAAAAAGAAAGACACGGCTGAGGTGTTAAATCACCTCTAGACACATGCACAAATAATAAATGGCACTGAAAATCACCAAGCAGGCAATCCCTTTTGCTGGACAAATTTAGCTCTTCATCCAGTGTGCGAACCAGTCGATCTTTGTTGTCCAGGCGCCATTGTAGGCCTCATCAAACTTTTCATTAAAGTAGCGAAGCGCCTCCTCTTCCGTCATCTCTACGGCCAGGGTCTTTCGCACATACTCTAAATCCGTCACACAAGTCAATTCTGGTAAACCCGAAGGCAGCATCATAGCAAATAGAGTGAGTATGAGGTGTGCATGGCGACGCAGCACGAGGTAGGCATTGCCACAGAGTTTAATGAACTCAATGAAGCCTTGACTGCGGTAGGGTTTCTCCTCTCCCCGGGCGATGACGCAGGCAAAATCGCTGGTCAGCACGAAGGGCACTCGTTCCCTAGTGATGCCAAACTTCTTTTTCTTATTGTTGAGGATGTGTCCGAAGTCGATGTGGAATAGACGGCCGTTGGCGTCCACCATGATGTTATCGTTGTGACGATCACGAATACCCAGTACGAAGGTGGCAACGCAGTATCCGGCGCAGCTGTTGGTGAAACGCTCAACAGCCGCCTCGTAAGCTACCCCGTCGCCCTGAGCATTCTGCAGAAACCAACGATGAAGCTGGCTGGAATCGATCTGCATTGCGGAGCGCACGCGTTGGCCCTGGATAGACATGATCGTTTGAGAGTTGCGAACCACTTCGATGAGGCCCACCTCGTCACCGGTAGCCAGACAACCATAGGTAGTCAGGTGAAGATTCAGTCCCTCATCTTTCCATATTCGGTCCATCACCTATGAAAAAGGGGGACATAAGTGGGGCTGAGACAGATGACAGCAGTGCTGAACATGTCCATTACAGTACTGGTAAGCACAACTCCCAGTTACTTATACTCTCGAGGAAGCGAGTCAAATTGCAAATAGCTAATAGGTTTTAATTAATGTCCTCTGACTGTGAAATCCAACTTGTTAAACCCCCAGGTAACGGACAAAGGGAAGTAAAGTACTTGCGACAAAGGACTTGACCCATGTGCCGATGATCAATAATAGTCGTACAACAGCCATTTATGCTCTTTTTGTTCGAGATGTGATATTAAAAAAGTACTAGCAGTCGGGATTTGATCCCATACTCACAATGCTTAACTGAAATAAACAAGTAAAACACGTCAAAAACCGACAATGTAAGAAATACTGACAAAGATTTAGAACACGTGCTCCCAGAAGTCTCATCCACCATGATTAGCTTTGGTAAAGGCGAATAAGCCAGGAGTGAGAGTTCCATGTTTTCCTCCCATTCCGACAAACCGAACTCTAGGAAATCGACGGACTGGCAAATGTTACCGCCTCCAAGGGTCCTGGTCCATGAGCCAGAGTATTCTGTCCTGCAATCAAGTGGGGTCGTCGGGATCTATTTCGATGTACAGGAAGAAAAGCAGCTTTCGCAACCCTCATGAATTGTTACACTTGCTTCTGTCTACTTGTTTTAGCTCTAGTAGTTGAGATTTGTAACTTTCAGGGATAGCGTAATCCTTTGGTTTAGGCTAGATTAACGGAAGGGGGTTGTGGTTGGGCTTGCGACGAGCCCTAGGGTCAGGTGAGCTGGGTTAAAGATAGTGAGGTGGTAGTACTGGGATTATGGCTAGGGCTGAGCTTAAAATAAATCTCTTTTCAGCCTCAACCCTAGCAGTAATCACCTAACTCTAACCCAAAGCACGAGACCTTAACCCTAACACAAACTTTAGATTTAACTCTAGATGTCAACCTAATTCCATGTTAGTCTTGCCTAGACCAACGCAGTTCGCCCAAGAACAATGTTGTAAAACACAGTTACTAAAGCAAAAAACCGCAAAAACGGGAACAATTCGCCGGGGAGAAGATAAAGATGATTTTACTCATCCACCGTATAAAAGCCACGTTGGGGAATCATCGTAACCTGCCTATCGGCCTTAGTAGCCGACCTTTCGGTCTATTAGTTATTTTCTTTTCAGCTAATACTAAGGTGCCTTGTTCCTTCAGATTTGTCAGTCAGGAAAGGTTGTTCAGGGTTTCTCCTTCTGCACTGCCTGTGAGTTTTCGAGACACGACTGAGTGAAGCCCACTGGAGGTGAGACTGGGTACAGCGACTGACTAGGCGTTTTGTCTCGTCTTCCGTACGCCGCACGCGTACTGGCTCCCCAGTTCCAACCCGGACTTTCAATAGCCAGCTGCTGTGTCCATTTCAAAGTCGGACAAAAGGGCAGAATTCACTAAAATATCAAATGCGTATAAAGACGGAAATATGGGGAGATAAACTTTAGCCGATGGTAACAATTCCCAAGTGGAGTTTGAAATGAATGGGGCGACAGGATAACACTAACCTTCAGCAACTGCAAAGTTAACATGTCCTGACGCAGGTCATCGCCGTGCTTGAACAACAGCTGATGTTTTTTGTGATGATGGGCACCCAGGATGTCCGGATTGGTCCAGACGATCCACAGTGGGCGCTTTTTGGAGCGCTTCACGGTGCACTGGTGGTCAATAATGGAGCCAAGTTTTACACTGAAACAGAGTGGCGAAGTTATCTTCTCAAGGTCGCGCCGAACCTCCGCTTTGGCGAGTTCGGATTTAAACCATGCGCGTTGTTCCTCCTCATCAGTAAGCTTCTGCCGTACCAAAGATGCAGTAATTGAAGTAAGTGAAATAAAAGGCATATATGTATACGGACAATTATTACATAGTGCGCAAATGCCCGATCTGACGACGTGATCGCTCACACACTCACGAAGAAGGACAGCAGGCGTCTTTGCACTGGATATTAGGTTCTGGGAATCAAAAGCGTAACAACAATTCAAGGTGTATATCAACTGTTTTTGTAACCATTCAACTAAACTCCTCTCTCCAATGCGCTCCACATGATCAGGGCGACCCACGCAGATAAAGGCGAGAGATAAGCCGCCATTTACCCGCCATAACGCAGTTTTTGAGGATGAAATTAGTTTAAATTCAATGACGATACCCACGTACACATTTAAGAAGTCAAGTCCGGGAAAAGTGCGTTTTCGATTATTCATCATCAGGCCTGGACAGTAACATAAGAGAGGGTAGAGTAGCAAAAGCGAAACAACCAATAACAGTCAGTATGGGGGAGAGGGTTGAGGGGTGTCCAGGGGTAATGGGTCCAGACTCTAGTTCTGTCAGGAGCTTAGGGAGGGGAAGGGGGAAGGCGTCTGACAATTAGCTGTCCCCGTCTCAGCGCTGTAACGCGACGTGGCGGGTGTGGACAGATATGCTGGGTTTGGCTTTACCCAGGAAGAGCCTTAGCGCTTGTACATGCGTTTTATGCAAACACAAGGTCGGGTTAGCCAACCGTATGGCCACTACCTTAGCCGTCGCAAGTATTCGCTGAGGAAGGAACTTGAAGTGTTTTGCCGGCACTTTATCGATGGCTCGAAATGCCTGGCTGACGTCTACTCGGTGGCCGCTGTCACCCAAGTCAGCCACAATTGCGCTAGAGGTGAACTTTTTCCCACCTTGATTTAGCCAGGCAGGATGGTGCTTTCGCATCCGCCTAGACAGAAGACGCCTAGCTGTCCAAACAATATAACCTGCCCCATAGGAGCAAGTGAGCGCGTAGATGCACACTGAGGAGGTCTGAAAAGGCACACTATCCTTACCATCAAGGCGAAGATGCGGAGTGCTTGTGAAAGCCAGTCTTATCTTAGCGGTTGGGTACGTGAGCGTGATAGCAGCGTTTAAGCGACGATGTAGGAGTTTGCTTGCCGGATCCCCTTAAAATGGGTGAGAAATAATTCCTTCTCAGTCGTCGAGACATCAGATTTAGGAGGGCATTCCTCCATGTTTGTTGATAAACTTTTCAGGGTAGCCGTTTTCTCTCAGTGTTTTGTATAATGGCAAGTTCATTCTCAAGCCTATCTGGAGTGCATATCCTCTTAGTTCGTTTGGTGAGGCAGCGGACCAAGCTTAGTTTCTGGCTTAGCGGAGTAAAAGTACAGAAATCTGAGTATTGTCCTGTCCATGTTTTTGCGAAATTAGTTTAGAGAAAACAGCCGAAATGTGGATGAGGAAGCGTTAGTTAGATCTAAAGTCAAAGGTCGCTACCTACATTGCCCAAATGATGTACGAGTTAAACCATGATGCAGTAGATTAGCTGGGCTAAGGTAAGGAGTGTAAAGTTTTGCTCCGCCACCTGATAAGAGACGAAACCCGATGGTACACAAGGCGTCCAAATGCCCAGCCCGACAGTCATCATGACAGAAAGTGAATATAGGGTTGCGCCGATAAGGGCTGATCGGGGGCCCATGACGCAACTGCAGCCGACATTGGCAATTTACGTTGGACACAGCGATCCGTCTGCCTTATAAAGCGAGCTATGTACAGTTCAGTCACGAAGGCTTGGCAGCTACTCAGAACGCCAGGTCACAAATACACCCCGGTTCGGAAAACGCCCTTTCTTAGAAAAGGGCCGACACCCGGACTGCCGCTAAAAATTGGAGTAACAACAGTGACCGGACATTGAAATCGTCTGCACAAGCAAAACAATAATCTTGAGAACCGATGGGCAGGATATATGACGGTGGACTTCTTGAATCCTTTAGTGACTGCATTTTGCTGGGTGGTGGAAAACAAAACGGGAACTACCAGTGTACATATCAGGGCTTGCAAGTCCGTACGGGAGTACTTTGTTGGAGACACTGCAAAGAGGTGACCAAGGCTTTGACACTGCCGCTGCAGTCATGTGAATTAAAGGCCAATTAAATGCAAGGGGGCAATTTAGTCACATAAATTAGACTTCGTACCGCAAATGCCCCTGCGCTTGCGCGAGCCAGGTGACAGTTCGACCGTCGACTCCGACGATGTCCACCGTGTGCTACACACCAAGGCGCGACAGGCACGGTAACTTGTGCGTGAATTAGTTTATAGTGAGTGTAGACTTGCGCAGCATCTAGCGCACTCACACTCCCCGCCTGGCTCGGTGTCAAGACAGAGCTAAGAAAACCGGAGGCGGCGGAGGGCGCAGGTGGCTGGCACGGCCGGACCCGCACTTAGGCGTGCCACCACACCCCGTGGTCCACAACATAAACCTGATCAACAACTCTCCAACAGGGGTCAGAAGGACGACGATGACTAAGGAGCCATGCCCACCACCTGCATACTCAGGGGGAGCGAAAGCGCATCTATCGGCAGGGAAGCAGGTGTCAGGGAACTGCCAGCGCATATCGGGCTGCGAGGGCCATGGCTTGCGGATACTGGCATAGCACACGCTGTCAGTTCTTTTGATCTAGAAGGGCGACACCCGTTCCTGCATTTAGCCTGGGTCCTCACTCTCCAAGGTTGGGTAACCAAACAGTCGTCGACTGAGAGGCACTACCCATAAAGCACACGCATTCCTCACATACATAAGTGTCACAGATGGCTTGAGAAGAGGCCGTGACAGCCTGGCTCTCAGCCCACCAGTCCGCCACTCCACACAACGGGGCAGACTGCGTGGACTTAGTTGGGGCGTCAGTCGGTCGCCTTCCGAGGCACGGCGCTCGACGCACCGTCTTCGTCTCAGACTCCGATCACACATGCAGCTGGGGAGCCGCATGGAGGAGCCGAGACGCACACTTTTCACTTGCGTGTGATGTGGTAGTTAGGTGCTTGAGGTGAGTGATGCTGATGTGCGGTGAGGTGCTTTAAAGGAAGGATGTGATGGTGTGGTGAAGCCGGCGGTTGTCTACTGCAGGTTTTCGCGGACGCGCATGTGACCTAATAGACCCATGCGGTGAATAAATGTGCGAGCGAAATGTGGACAGCGGAGGCGGATGCGGCGAGTGTAGGTTGGTGATCCAGGTAACAATATGCACACGAGCATAAACAGGTGGTACGATGAACCAGCTGCCTCAAGTTTCTGTCCACACTGGAGACAAACCATAATCTTGACTTCGTGTGCAAGAAGACGGTGGGATGGTCCAGCAACACGACATTTTAGCAGCTACTTCAGAACTGGATCCCTGATACCAACTCCAAAATTTGACATATCAATCTGTCTTCTGTCTGTCACATATTGCGTTGCTACTGTCGCACGACACGGTGCCGATAGTCACTGGCTAAACGGCCTATACGCGTCCGTCAGCGGTTTCTTACAATCGGTGGTATAGTTGGAATTTTAGCAGCGGGCTTATTGTGCGGCTGGCCTGGAGAGTACTTCACTGAACCGCTCCTTACAACAGTAGCTGTTCACGCGTTCAGTCGAGGTCAAAGCGGCGTCACGCTACTAGTCTAAACACTGTGACGCAACTTTCGTAGGAGGATAGCAAGCAGTGTGAGGGGATCAAAACGAGCGACTGGCAGGCGCCCTTGGAATCAGGCTTTGGGATCCGGTCTCACAGATGCCCGCGTAGAACCACCTTGACACACGGAATTTTGCTTTTATTGATCGCAGTGTATTATCCGCAGCCTGGCACACAGCTTAGCAACGTCGAAGTTTCCGAAAAGAGAACGTCTATTGCATGGGTGAGGACAGAAATTTAACGTCAGTTGAGGAGCCCTGGGGCATCTCGCCCACTAGGGATCTGAAATCCAAAAAGACCATTAGGACCGTTTTGGTTTCGCCGTCGACGGGAAGAAGAGGGAAAGTAATATGGAAGTAGACTTAGAACGCCCTGATTGTGTTCTGTAAGCGACGAACCCTTAGTAAAAGCATACTAAACAATACAATACTTATGATAGAGATGGAATCCATGCTAAATGCAAAAAGCAGCAGATATGTGTGTGCTTTCGCGCGTGATCGGTAGTGTGCACACCTTCACGGAGACCCCGAGAGCTGTGAGACGATGCAGAGCAACGACCTGATCGTTCACGAGGTTTACAAACAGACCACAACCGCGACAGAAGGCATCCAGGAGAAGACCGAAGCGCAGCCGGGTGTCCGCGTTGTGAATTTGAGCACGCAGATGCCAGCAGAGGCGGAGTCCAATAAGTGTTGGGCAGAGCAGAGCACGTTGAAGGAGGAAACAAGTGAGAGAATTGGTCATGTAGGCCTCGGTCCGCAGCACCTAAGCGTATATGAAAATAAAGATAATACATGGTGTGAAATCCGTCCGACGCTAGTCAAGACCTACTGCTTAATTATTCATGTACGCTTAGTGTAGGCAAATGCAGCCTCGGAAAGAAATAGCCAAGTGAGTTTGAGGTAATTAATGAGGAATTGGTAGTGGTAATTATTTAGGGGATTCTAGGTTGCCCGTATTATCGCGTAAACCTAAATGTTATCCAAAATCAGTGTCATCAAACCCTCGAAGGACCAACGTAGCCGGTTGACGACAAATATCTGAATTTGTTTTTTATTGATGTCCCCGAGAAAATGAATAATAGGGCTCGTCCCCCAAAGAGACGGATTCGTTGCTGAGTTGGACCAGAATGAGCCCAAGTCAACTCATGGAGTGCATTAGTCGCGCAGCACCGAGCCCGTAAATATTGCCGTGCTTAAGAGGGATATGGACGACTTAAAGGTTCATGGTAGGCCGGCCACTGTCCCTACCTCATCAAGAGATGGACAAAAGGTTCGGAAACGCGATTGTTGCATTGCGCTGGGAGCGACAGCGACATTTATGTCGCCCCATCAAATACAAATTTATTCATTCCACCATAATAAAATTTAGGCGCATGAAACAATCACTGGGGACAAGCCGCCGGTATCTCAGAGGGGACGCACAGATCACTAATCCCGAAACCAGAGGACAGCAACCCATCAGCAAACAATCAAACGCACCTTTGAGGCACAACAAAGTGATGGTAATCGGGGCTTGGAAGATTGTCAGCTGACAGGAAACGGAAATCAGAACTAAAGATCAGATCATAGTAGACCCCGTTTAATGTGACCATTATGATACCACTAAGGAAAGGTCAAAAGACTAAAGCTTAAGTAACGCTGGGCCTCCACCGGACACAAAATGTACAGAAAGCGGCCACATGAAATTGCATGGGAGTGGCGCCGACCTGTCTGATTCTGCCAAGCGGTAAAAAACAAGTGTCTACTTTTGCTATGAAGCCACGGCTACCACAGATAGACAGTCGTGCCCGGCGATGTCCACCGTGTGTTCAACAGCAAAATGAAACAGACAGGATAACTTGTGCCTCAGTTAGTTCATAGTGAGAATTCACTTGCACGGCATCTACAGCACTCTTGCCTCCTCCGCCTGGACAAGGTAACAAGACAGAGTCAAGAGGACCGGAGGCGGGAAAAGGCACAGGTGGTTATCCGAGCCAGACCCCCCAAATCCCTGTGTGACTAAGTCCTCTGCCCAGACAAATTATCAGCACTTGATTTGGAGGAGTGGCAACCATGAGTCAAACAACTCCTAACTCACGCGGTTACCTCCCGCGATAATTTTGGTTTAATTGAACTGGAGGATGTGGCCAGGTCACGCCCAATGAATTGCAACTTGAGAGTTAGAATCTCTCCTCATCACAGGTACTTCACATTCTATCATCAGCATCTTGAGCAATTCCCCTGTTGCCCCGACATAGTTGTCTTGCGTGAAAGCGCATAAGATCCGGTAAACAACTGCGAACATTCTCTGCAGTGCCAGTTGGCATTTCTGTCTTACCACTTAGAGAATGATGGTTACCTCCGATCTTTTGGCAAACTCGATAGCAAGTGGGGTGAGAAGGCGGCTGACCGCGCCTAATACGTTTTCGATGTACAGAAGCAATTAAGAACACCTGGGACCGATGCGTTTTGCATGCTTGTTCGGATAGGGCAAGCGAGGGTTGACGATACGAGAGCATTCATTTGTTCTGCGCAACCGTCGAAGGTAGTAGAAATCGGCAATGTTTACTCCGCTTAACTTCAGTGTGCCTCAATAATCCGATATAGCGCCTATAAACAAGTACTCTTGCGGCTGACCAGGTAGTTGTAGCTGGAGCTCAGTACTCGTGTCGTATCTGTCACATCTCAGAACACTTTAGTACCTAGGCCAACACAAGACGACAAACAAGATGCAGGCTGTACATCGCTAGCGGGTGAGTTTAATCGTTCACCACAGCAATTAATCCTTCGTTGGCCAAAGGTAGTAAATTCGTCGTCAGTGCACCTCGCTCGAAGTTTGCGCATGTACCTACGAGGGTTCGCCCCCAGATATTCTGGAGAACTACATTGACAAAAAACGCAGAGATTAGTGAACACACCAGCTGCCATCGGAGATGAGGAATAGCAGGCGGCAGTGCCCCACAACCTCTGATATATTGAACTGCTACCGAGGTGGCGTTCGATGAATTCCAGATTTCCCAAAGAAGCCCTGTAGACCGAGAACTTAATAAATGCCTTCTACCGTCTTCGATCACAAAGCGAGACATGATTTTTGTGCTGAGGGCCTTAATTGTGCTGAGCTGTCATAGTTTTGCGACACCGCGGAGTCCTAGACATGACGATTCGGGCGCGGATGAGAGGTAATCTTACAGACGTGTGCGAACAAAACCATGGTCTCCCGTGGGCGTTACCAGCTTCAACACCACGCATCGTTCAGCGTTCGAATTTTCAACGCTGTCGTATCAAGAGTCAAGCCCAAAGCTCCAAAGAAGGTGACTGAAGAACCCCCTGGCTCAATCTAGCCGTTCCAGACGCTGACAACAATCGGCCTATCGCAATGAGGTAGTCTTACAGCCAGGTCTCACAGTCGTGAGTAGAAAGCTTCTTTATCGTGCTGGCCAGCGCCTGATGTTGGTGCGTAAATGAAGACACCAGTGATGTTTGAAAAGTGGCCCTTCAGTCGTATGTAGGCCAGCCGGTCATTGGCTGGTTCCCACGCATATAGTGGGTGGTTCGTCTGTTGCGATCGGGTGATTATCACACTGTGTCTATCAGAAGAGTCGGGTGTGATGACACGCCTAAGGGCGTCGCCGACCGCGCCAGTCACCTGCAACCTCTCCCACCTCCATTCTTCTCGACTATATCTTGACATCGGGTTCAGGCGGGGGAGGAGATAGTGCGGCAGATGCTACGCAAGTCTACTTTTATTAAAAACTAAATCACGCACAAATCACCGTCGCTGCGCCAACCCTGCTTCGGAGCACACTGTGGACACAGTTGAAATCGACGGTCGAACTGTCATCAGAAGTGTCTGGCGAGCTACAACGATGTAGGGCGAGAAGAGATTTGACACCCGGATGGATGGAGGGTGAGAAGAGATTTGACAGCCGGAAGGTGATAGTCGCAAAAGCAAGTGCATGAACACAAGTTATTTTCTAGAAGGCTAGACTGGAAGTCAAAGCCGGCAACCCACACGGCGCAGACGAGACATATCTTCAAATTTGGCACCACTGAAGTTGTGGACCTAGATGAGGATCATATATCAAGGCGAATACAAGAACCCTGGGTGTCCATCGGCCACTGGGTTTACGGCCACACAAGCCTCCCTGTAAACCTACTTGGCCGGCGGACCTCCTGTTAGCGCTACGATCAATGAGGAAGGGCGCGACGCAGACCACAGCGAAACTGGAGTTAGTTTCGAAATCGTCGTCGGCATTGGCGGCATACGCTCCAGACGCGGTTAACACGTAACCCATATTTCGGATAATATGATCCGTGCATATAATTCTGCGGTTTCTGAAGATGGATAGCCGAAATTGTCGTTAGAAACGCCAGAACACAAATATACGCTCTTTTATTATGGCACTTTCATAGTAGTTTTTCCCAGCGGGGCGGTTGTATCTGGCCGACAACCTTCCAAAATGCTTTCATTCTCTCCGGTTAACAAACGTAAGAGATCCGGGTGGATAATCTGAGGAAAGGGAAGCGCTCACCAGATCGAGGGAACTGTTTGGCTGACGTGGCACTCCTACATACGGTTTGGCAAAATGGATGTTTGCTGGTCTTAAGTCCCTGGCAGAAGGTTCGCCAACAACAAGGGCTTCTGCTAATCAGTTCCTTGAACGACAAGAGTTGAACGACAATATCTGCATGACCTCTTTCGAGCCAATGGATGCCCAAGCTACTTCATCAAGCAAAGCAAGCGCCGAATCAACAGACGACTGCCACAAGAAGAACAACCCGAAGTCTGGAGGGATATTCTTTAAGTTAAAGGAGTCTCCGAGACGGTTTCACGACTGTTACAACCCACCAGGGTAGGCCTTGTCTATCGACCCCAGGAAACAATTCGTCGCCGTTCGATGCAACCCAAAGACATACTGCCACCCACTGAAACCTTAGCAGTTGTTTATCAAATACGTTGTAACGATGGAAACTGCAACTACGTTGGGGAAACCGGACGGAAATTGCAGACCCGCCTGCATGAGCACAAACTGGCAACTCGGAGACTAGAACCAAACTTACAGCTTGCGACTCATCAGAGAAACTGGCCACAGTTTTGACTTTCAAGGAGCAGCCGTCTTAGGCCGGAACACCTCAAGGACAGAACGCCTTGGTACTCGGATGCCAACTCTATCAACAGGCATTTAGACCTTCCTGCGGCCTATAAAGTCCTACGTCACTACATACGCCATGACGAGGAGAAGACAGTCATACGGAGCTTAAGAATACCGAACAAACACGGCCCGTCAACTTATTCATCCAAAAGAGGGACACAAACGCAGCTGACCCTAATTGAGGTGACGACACAACACAGGAGGCCACCAACACTCAAAAACGACGGCCAGTAGGCCAAAGCAGCGAAAGAAGAAAAAATCGATCAGCCCAAGGCCAACTTATTCAGCTGCATATTAAAAACTCTGGTCGACTTTTGCACCAAACACGCTGATAATGGAGAGCCGGTCAAGCTCTCTGAAACGTCAGCCAAACAATTCCCTCGATCGGGTAAGCACTTCCCTTTCCAATGATTTCATTTTGTCTCAGAAAGTTGATTTAGTGTGTGGTAGGATGATCTTGGGCTTGTGTACTCTCGTGATTTGGAGCATAAGCAGTGTGCATATATTGAGCATCATTTGCTCGTGGCGGGGGCTATGTTCGCAAAATATCGGCTTGCTAAGGACCGTTGAAGAGGACTAGAGACACTAGAATTAATAGGTTGGGTTTATTGGAAACATCCATTTGCCAGTCTGTCCTTGCCTCTGCCAGCGCGGCTGCGCATCCATGCCGTCTTAAGTCCGCCCAACGCCTCCCGTCATTCGATTGTTTCAGCTACCTGCTGAGCTGAGTGCAGTTTTTCGAACCAATTAGGTCTTCCTTGACACCTGATTTGGGAATCTTCGAGCTGTGTATCATCGCAACTCGACACCCAGCCAGTGATACTCCAGCCATAGGTGGCGGTGAAATGCGGCTGTAACCCGAAACAGTATCGATTGTAGGGGATTTCAAGTCAAATGCCCTGATACCAGTCACCGAGCGGACGTCTTGCCGACTGTGAATGGGAATATTCTGATTTGCACGCCGGATTTAACCTATTTGATGTTGTCAGACCTGAATGAGCGAGGAATGAACTGGTAGGGGGCGACAAGTATGTGCTAAAAGTGTGGCGTTCGACGACATGTACATGGTTACAATTTTAGTCAGTGTTGGTGTCCACCCCATTTTTATAGACAATAAACGGAACGGCGAGGAAAGAAGGCGAGGGCACAGAAACGCTGAGGACTAACAAAAGGTAAGAGGAAGTTCTCTAAAAAAAGGATGGGTTCCTGGTCGAACTAACCTGGACTAACTGGAGCAAGTAGTCTGCGAGATTCGCATTCGCCAGTCCGGCCTGAAGACCCTGGACAGCCACATCACGCACCAGAGGGTCAGCCACGCCCGTATTGCCCACACTGTTTTCACCGCCGGAGGCCGTGGTAAGACCAGCAACGCCGAGCAAAGCCAACGAGACTTCTACCGGTAGTGGTCGCGGCCAGGCACCAAGGAGACGATAGAAGTCCGCCACCATCTCGTGCCGCTCCCAGGGTACTGCTTGCACCAGCCAGGGCAGGGCACCCGGATAATGTCGCCGACAGGCCTCCCGATTTCGCCAAAGCACCGCTTTGTCCTGTTCGGAGAGCTCGTAAAAGGGATCACGAGCAAGGAGGTCGCGAATGAGGGCCAATTCGTCAGCCTGGTCTCCAGTCATAGAAAGTAGAGTGTCCGCAGTAGCCGCATCACTGCGGAGGGCTTCCAACTTTCGCGTGGATATCGAGGGCACTCGATGGAGCGCCAGGGTCGCTGTCGAAGAATCCAACAAATCCCCCGTCACTGCCTGTTTGACCTTGTCCAGGGGGAATCTTACAGCACGGTCTGGGCAGGGGTTAAGAAATTCTATCTGGAGGATGGAGATGGGGAGGTCAAGATAATCGGCTCAATAAGCGCACGCTAATGGAAATCGATTGCAGAAAAGCATAAAATTACTACCTGTAGAAGGATTTCGGGATCAGGGTTCTCCACAACCGTACCCGAAACGTTAATTTGATGTGAAGCGGCGTCTGGCGAAAGAAAGGCCACAGGCCACAGACGCAAGGTGCGTTTTCCGGTCACCAAAAATCCATTGTGATCAAATAGATTGACATTTGCCCAGCCAACGGGATATTCAAACTAAAGACGTAAACATATATACTTAGTGCACAAAGATACGGAGTTGCATTAGTTAGCGACATGCGCATTTAGTCATTGCCATGACAAAAACCGCCCATTCCTCGAACAAACAGCTGCACTAATCCTACAGAAAAGTTCTTACGAATGAAACACTCTAAAATATAGTTGCAGCAATTTCGAGTTGCCGGCATTCACACGGATACTCCAAAGTGATAATTTCGGATTGATTTGTCAGCGTGAAACCATGCCACAAAACTGAAGGTGAAGTTAAAACATGGCAAAAATGTGGCAACATCCGTAATCTACAGAAAAGAGAGGTCTAGGCATTAGCCTAGCTGCTGGCTACACGACGCATCCACGAGAGGTGGGAGAGGTTGCAGGTGACTGGCGCGGTCGGCGACGCCCTTAGGCGTGTCATCACACCCGACTCTTCTGATAGACACAGTGTGATAATCACCCGATCGCAACAGACGAACCACCCACTATATGCGTGGGAACCAGCCAATGACCGGCTGGCCTACATACGACTGAAGGGCCACTTTTCAAACATCACTGGTGTCTTCATTTACGCACCAACATCAGGCGCTGGCCAGCACGATAAAGAAGCTTTCTACTCACGACTGTGAGACCTGGCTGTAAGACTACCTCATTGCGATAGGCCGATTGTTGTCAGCGTCTGGAACGGCTAGATTGAGCCAGGGGGTTCTTCAGTCACCTTCTTTGGAGCTTTGGGCTTGACTCTTGATACGACAGCGTTGAAAATTCGAACGCTGAACGATGCGTGGTGTTGAAGCTGGTAACGCCCACGGGAGACCATGGTTTTGTTCGCACACGTCTGTAAGATTACCTCTCATCCGCGCCCGAATCGTCATGTCTAGGACTCCGCGGTGTCGCAAAACTATGACAGCTCAGCACAATTAAGGCCCTCAGCACAAAAATCATGTCTCGCTTTGTGATCGAAGACGGTAGAAGGCATTTATTAAGTTCTCGGTCTACAGGGCTTCTTTGGGAAATCTGGAATTCATCGAACGCCACCTCGGTAGCAGTTCAATATATCAGAGGTTGTGGGGCACTGCCGCCTGCTATTCCTCATCTCCGATGGCAGCTGGTGTGTTCACTAATCTCTGCGTTTTTTGTCAATGTAGTTCTCCAGAATATCTGGGGGCGAACCCTCGTAGGTACATGCGCAAACTTCGAGCGAGGTGCACTGACGACGAATTTACTACCTTTGGCCAACGAAGGATTAATTGCTGTGGTGAACGATTAAACTCACCCGCTAGCGATGTACAGCCTGCATCTTGTTTGTCGTCTTGTGTTGGCCTAGGTACTAAAGTGTTCTGAGATGTGACAGATACGACACGAGTACTGAGCTCCAGCTACAACTACCTGGTCAGCCGCAAGAGTACTTGTTTATAGGCGCTATATCGGATTATTGAGGCACACTGAAGTTAAGCGGAGTAAACATTGCCGATTTCTACTACCTTCGACGGTTGCGCAGAACAAATGAATGCTCTCGTATCGTCAACCCTCGCTTGCCCTATCCGAACAAGCATGCAAAACGCATCGGTCCCAGGTGTTCTTAATTGCTTCTGTACATCGAAAACGTATTAGGCGCGGTCAGCCGCCTTCTCACCCCACTTGCTATCGAGTTTGCCAAAAGATCGGAGGTAACCATCATTCTCTAAGTGGTAAGACAGAAATGCCAACTGGCACTGCAGAGAATGTTCGCAGTTGTTTACCGGATCTTATGCGCTTTCACGCAAGACAACTATGTCGGGGCAACAGGGGAATTGCTCAAGATGCTGATGATAGAATGTGAAGTACCTGTGATGAGGAGAGATTCTAACTCTCAAGTTGCAATTCATTGGGCGTGACCTGGCCACATCCTCCAGTTCAATTAAACCAAAATTATCGCGGGAGGTAACCGCGTGAGTTAGGAGTTGTTTGACTCATGGTTGCCACTCCTCCAAATCAAGTGCTGATAATTTGTCTGTGTAGATCATTCAATCACGGGGAGACGTGTGGGCAAACTCTTTTTCCTGCAAAATGATCAGTTTTCCCAGTGTAGATAGATGATTGCCCCAGTCGTCAACGCCGGTGACGCAATCGTGACAACTGGCATCATGGATGCGACAGATCTGGGAGTCTGCCCCAAGTACAACTGTCTGAAGTGACTGAGAGGGGCTAATTTTGATAGGTGTGTTGTTGCAGAGCGATTTTTTTCCATAAATACCGGGAACCTCTATACGCCTACTATGCCTATCGGTTGCTGTCTCAGATGAGGTGCTCGAGTGTGAATCCGAAACACCAGGCTGTTAAAATCAGTGTTCTAACGATCGAGTGTCCTTTACAACACCTTTTCTCCAACAATCTCCCTTATTTGTTATATCTAGGCTGTTCTGGTGATTGCCTTTTTGGGGGGAGGGTGTGCTTACTTTCCCCATTCTAACTTTTACGAAGCGTATTCTTTTCATTCGACCAAGTATTTTTTTGATCTAAGCCGGTTTCTTGTAAGAACGCTTTTGGTCGACTTCACAAGGTTTATCAGATTGTCCTTCCAGAAACGCGCCCGATTTCCCTGTTTCTTTGAAATTAACAGCTATCGTTAAGTGAGCATACAGCCATCATATTTATTTAAGAAGCAGTTTGTTTTTAACACTGTAAGCGTCCATCGGTATGATTTGACTTCAAAACTAGCTTATTGCTTATTGGTCGCTATGTGGCCGTCAGTGAAAATCCTAGCCGTGGATTGCATGTGTGCAGGACTACCCAGTCATCCTCGTCTTTCTGACCCTTTTGTTTTGTTGTTGGTTAAAATTCTGCTCAAGTGTTTGTTGTGGACCAGGTGGTGAGGGGTGGTACGCCTAGGTGCGGGCTTGGCTGGACCAGCCACCTGTGCCCTCTCCAGCTTTCGGTCTTCCTGATTATATATTGACACCGGATGCTGGCGGGGGGAGAGAGTGCGGTAGATGCTGCACAAGTCTATTCTCACCATGAACTAATCCAGGCGCCAGTCACCGTGTCTGCTTCATCTTGCTGTGGAGCACACGGTGGACCGTAAGGGTACAGGCTAGCGCCCAATCCCAATCAGGAGACCGACAGGTTTAACCACCCATCCCCACTACAAGGCAAATGCACAAACCCAACAACAATATTATCTACTAACCCCTAATGTAGGTCTGAACCCTAGCCGTGCACCAAATACTGGCCAGTGCAAGCATTAAGTCTAGATGTAAACCTGACTCTTGTCCGCTTCCCTAACGATAACTACAAACCCGCTCATCCTAATCCGAAAGCCTAAGTGTAACTGCAATAGTGAGCGCCAATACATAATTCAAGGCCGGAAGTTAAACTGCAAATCTATCACGAACTCGCCAACTCCTAAAAATGAACTAAAGGTTTATTCCTGCTCATAAGCCTAATTATTAGTCGTAGCCATAAATCTAGTAGCTAATTCGTAAATCGAGGCAGAAAACCTAACTCAAACACCAATGCTAAGTAATAAATCCAAAAAAACATTGCCTGAACTTTTATGCGAACTACAATAGTAATTACTAAACCTAGACTGCAACACCAGCCCTACTTCTAACTCTAACCCTAACATCCAACCTTAACCACTAATTCTTAACATTAACTCTGGTCCCTTACCTTAGCCTTAACTCCTAACCCCAGGCGTGCATGAGGGTCCTACCACAATAGCAAACAACCGATATAAAATGTAGATTGTGTTCTCATCAGCTTCGTTCTTTTGCATTCTGAGCACAAAAGTGCAACCCCGTTCACTGAGGCAAGGGAGGATGGCATGGACGTTGGATGCCCACATTTGCAGTTGGCGTCCCAGTCAATCAGTTCTTACCCTCTGCAGGCTTTTATGACCATTTAAAAAATAAAAAAAGATTTTACGGCCAGCAGTCATGGCAATATTTGCCAGACATAATAGAAACGAGGGGATCTTCAGGAGTTAACGCGTTTATGAAGGAGTCTGGGAGTCCGTCTTGAAAATAAGTATTACAGATGATGCAATTTTAAATCCGGCGCAGTTTCCGGCCTCGGACGAAGTGGAACGGCATATTGCACTTCTTAACGATGCAATTAACCGGCCTTCCCCAAGCCTTCAACTCCCCTAGATCTATATGTAAAAGTTTACCATAAAATAAGCTCATCCAGCTTTTCACACTAAGTCATCCTCCCAAAGTCTCCCTTCACATATGACCATATTTTGCGGAGAACCACAAATTAAACGGACAGGTAATATCGAGCCTGTGACACGATGACGACACACCTGGGTTACAGTGTGCAAAAGGTCATCGTGTACCTCAAAAGAGATCTGTAGGTAACCTGATGTGCGTAATCTACCAGAAAGACGTACTAAACACGTGCAAACCCGTGATAGCCCGACCGTCGCAAGCGAAAATGCCCACCGTGTGCCTACAGCGTAGTGGGTGGAGAATGGTGACTTGAGTGTGAATTAGTTTATAGTGATAGCATACTTGCACAGCATCTGCCACACTCCCTCCTTCCTCACTCACCTGGGCTCGGTGGAATGACAAAGGACGATCGGAGGTAGGCCCGGGCGCAAACCCACAACACCAACAGCATAATTAGAGGAAGTAGGAAGCATTGAGGCTTTACCCAAAACACCGACTTACGTCCACAACATAAACCGACACAATTGCTAAATGGACCAAAACAACATGAAAACTGAGGTAGGGGTCATTGGCCAACACAGAAGGACGTGATGAGTACTAAGTACAAACAGCGGTGGGGTGAATGGAGCATGAAGTCATGGGGGTGTTGCTCAAAGCAGACGGACGTGGTGAAAACCAAACAGCCTAAACTAACGCACCAGCAGATGCGATCGCCAGCGATAAGACACTAAAACGACTTATTTTACGCCTTACAAGCACAGTCCTAGAAGCAAACAGTAAACACCAAAGATCTAGGTGCTGCACTGAGTCAGCCCACCAATCAGCTCATTGCCGATAATTGGATCTGGGACATCTCCGCGCCTTTAATAAAGAATGTAGATAGGATGGTGCCTGAAATACTGCAACATATGCTTCATCGGCGCTGTTGTGAAGGTCTTCGCTGTTTCTATTCAGGGTGTGTGTAACCCCAGGATGAGACCCAGTCAAGCTAGGTTTCGAGACGAGTGTGGATGTGCAGATCAGATATTTACACTCAGACGCATTCTTGAATTCCACCATGACCATTAGCAGCTAACGGCCGTCGACTTCGTTGACCGTACCACAACGTTCGTTTAGTCTACAATAATTTCCTGTGGCGCATAATAAAACTAAATTTGATGCAGGCAAAAATCATTCCGATGATCAGGCCTTCCTGCAGCTCCATTACTGTGTGAGTTACGGTTTACAACGGTCTCTTCTAGTCGTTCGAAAAGATTGCACTCTTTAGCCCAACCGGCTCCACTAAGCCAACGACGGGATCCTTTGAGAGGGCCTTCCGAGAAGGACGACTAAGGTAGTTTGGGCGCATTCCTCTAGTGGGCTCAGTGCAGCCACCCTTGGTCCGACGCCGTTGTTCATCTAGCTTTAAAATAAAAGTGTAAATCCCAAACATTACATAATTGTCAAAAAGGCAGTAACGGGTGACAAATGCAGCACCCCCAGGACTTCTGCCATTAACCGTCTGGCTGTATAAGGAAAAACGAGGCGGTGATAACAAATACCCTACTCATAGGCAGTTTTAACTCACGATCCGTCCTGGTCGTTTCTTAATTCGCAGAAGCACGACGCATACGCGAGTTGCCAGAGGAAGGTCAGCGTAGAAAAGGTGGAAATTCAGGGGTTGGTTCCAGGTTAAAATGGATGACTGAACGTCACGAGTTGTCTAAATAATAAAATACGTGCTATTTATATATATGCGGCAGACAATTTTACAAGACCTACCCAACCAGCAGCAAAATGGGCACTTCATCCAAAGGGGACCTTAGATGCAGTCTCAATTAAACTTATCGACTGGGACTCACGAGTACAGAATTCAAACAATAGGTAGTATTACCTGGTACTCAAAAAGAATCTGCCCACCATGAGAGATCCCCACCCGCACCATGTAACTATACTGAGCGGAGGAGAGGACGGTGGCCGGGTTGCAGCGGGCAGAGGCCAGAGTACCAGGTTCAGTAATACTAGTAGATGCACCGCAAGCAGTGGTCACGGAGGCCCAGGAACCATCCAGAGAGGTTGGTGGCGATTCATTGGTCATTATCACTTCAGCTGCGATGTCTTTACTAGATGTCCCCAGCGAGGTGAGGCTGACGGAGTCAAGGACAGTAGAGACGACGGGCGGACTCTCTGAATTCTAGTAAAAGAGGAAATAGTGGAAATTAGGTTAGTGGAATAAGTCGGTGGGTTTTGCTCGGGGAACTCATTTGTCGTACCAATAGGGCTTGGGCATTGCTGACACAACAATAAGCGGTGACGAGAAGTTTGCACGTATGGTTATCATAGGAAAATAGGATCCGCATTTTTCGGCGGAGGGTAACATTGATTCTTGCGTTTACAGTGTGGGTTGAATTTTCCTTAAAGGTAACTACACCACCGTCCCTACTGATTATGGTGCGGTTGGTGGTGCTGGTGGTGATGATGCCCAATAACAATAGTTACGGTACCACAGCGATGATAATGCGGACCGTAACGGTAACCATGAAGAATACGATCAAGGCGGATAGGAGGAAAGAGCAGATATAAGGACTAAAAATATGGCATAGGCGAGAAAGGAGGATGAATAGGGAGTAGGCGGACGAAAACTTACTGTGTTGGTCAGAGCAGTCCGTAGCGTTTGGGTACTACCGACCCTGCCGAATGTCTGCAGGCTTGCGGAGGGTCTCCCAGTTGAAGCCTGTTCTAGTGGAGGGGGAGGTGGAGTCCAGTTGAAAGACTCGCCATTCCCGCTGGAAAGTGTGTGGGCGCTACGCACAATTATGGCAAAGTAGTCTCGTAAGTTCCACAGACTCTCTGGCTTTACATCGCCAGTAGCAACACCTTCACCAGAAGAAGACGATAATTCAAAGTCCACCAAATCTAGAATGCTGAGAGGTTCTGTCGCAGTGGGCGTGGTGACGGTGTTGAGACCTTCTTGTGGAATAGGAAGGTCCAAACTTTCGAGTACATCCTTGAGTAGAACGGGACTCAGTTTGGGAACTTCGGCACGCTCAACACATTCTTGGACATAGAGGTAGTGTATGAGCACACTTTCTGAGTCATACAGGTATTCCTGAAAGAAAAAAAACATCAGTGGCAGCATCGCCATGTGAGGATAATATAAGCACGTTCAAATAAGATGGTTCTGGGAAACTTATTAGAAAAACTGTGCTGACAAGCATTACAAAGGACATTGCAAGCAGAATAAACTTGATAGACCTGGGCAAAATCAAAGAAGAAGGCTAATACGCTGTATCGTTATCCCTCCTTCACAGTTTGGGAAGATTAACGTGAGCTAAATTTACGCTAAATGAACGGGCTTGGCAGAAAACGTATTTACAAGTCGTGCAGATAGAGAAATGAAAGTCGACTGAATTCGAAAAAATGGTGCGTACATTGACCGAAAAGGTGCGGTCTCTGAAAAAAGGCCAAGAAGCAAACTTAAAGGAAAGGCAGCGAAGTGTGAAGGAAAACATGCGTTAACTGGGAGATGGGAGCTTATTTCAGTTGGTCTTATGAGGATTTTGGTGCGCCTACATTTATGGAGATTGGCAAAAGATCGGAAAATAGGTATTTCGTCAGCTTTCGGTGAAAGAATGTGCGACAACGCCGCATCACATAGTGCGGAACTAAACAAGGGCGTTGTTGCAACTGTCAGCTCAGTTTTATTAAGGGAAAGATAGGCGAACGCCTTTAAACTCCCTACTGACTACAATGTCGAAGAAAAACCATCGATACACAAAAAAGAAAAAGGTACGGTTTGCACAATAGTATGCCACAAGAGGGCAACTGTTTGGAGGTGTAAAAATATAAACATCAACCTGTGTTTAATCATCAAGGAGAAATACTCAACTGCAGTGTATAAAAAGTGAGGATCGTGATGGAAGAACGTTTACGAATCTGGCCTAATTGGGGTACGAAATGCGGAGCTCCGTCTTGAAGCTGAAGTTTAGCCATCTGATTCGACCGTCATTGAGCTTAACCTCACGGACCGAGCAAACTTTGTTTCCAATTTCAGATTTCCAGAGCCCTGGGTTGGGGTATGGCTGGCTGACGATGGCGAATACAGCAGAAATTGCCATCTTAGTGTAATATTTTGCTGGTAGCACTTAGCAGTTACTCGTCCGCAATTAGGCATTATCCGTGCATGTCAGTATCACTGAAAGCAGGCGACAGATCGTGAGCTTATGGCCCAGATCACAGTTAGATTCAATTGCCAACCTAGGTCTTCCAAGCCCGTGGTTGGGGTATGACTGGCCTATGCCGACAAATAAGTTTGTAATGGACATTCTAGTCCCCTTGCTTTTCGACTAAATCTTTATGCATGTTTTCCTACCTGAGAGCAACAGATCTTAAGTAGATACATCGATGGGTCCAGCTTGGCACCAAAGTTGTGTTCCACGTCTGCTGACACATCGCCCTTCACCAGCCTGGTCTGCTGTTGAATAATGTGCTTCAGAGCCCCTGCCACAGTGACCTCCTTCGGCAACTCCAACGTCAGAAGCCTCTGTTGTGGCGGATCACTACTATCGAGGATCCAGGCACCTATTGTAAGGTGGCGCAGAGACTGAAGACATCGTTTAAGGGAGACGGTCAGCTTTGGCTGTTGAGTGGCAGCTGTTAGATAGCGGGCAATCGCAACGCTACCACCGATCTCCAACTCCCGTGAGTTGGTCTCCGCTATTCTGAGAAGGCTCTTGCGGGCCCAGGAGACCTCAGCACTGGCCTCCTCGGCTGCCCTTAGGTCCGTCTGGCAGATGGTGGAGCACCTAAAAACCAGAGACATTTTAAAACGCGATAGCCGGCAGACAGCTACGAGTTTAAAAAACTGCAATACGAGAGATGAAAAGGTTTTGAAGTGTTGGATGATATCTCTTTGGGGTCTCGAGGCAAAAAAGGTCCAGCACACGGTGGCACGGATCATGGACAGGTGTCTATAGACCAGAAGAAGAAAAAAACGGAAAAATATAAAACGCAGACAAACAGACGCATTAAAAACTGAGGGTGCGGTTAGTGTGTTGCTTGGGAGTAAGACCGGCTGAAAGACTTCTTTAGTAGACCTAGTACACCTCTGTAACCGCCCGCTTGATCAAGGTCGCCTTTTTGCTATCATTTACTGCCAGGCGTCGGGAGCTCACCTGCTCCGATAAGCTAAAAAGTTAGATGCATGGCTACCTCTGTTAAAATAACTACCGACTAGTGGAAAGGCCGGGGACCTGTGCGCTGTCTGCGAAGAGTGTATTCATGTGTGTGATGTAAGCATGGGCCCTAAAAAAGGACTTCACTACTGCGCCAGATCCAAACAGGAGAGGAGTGGGTGCAGCACGCATAAGGTGAAGGCGCCCAAATCTATTTTCAAGTGGCTAGACCCGGACTTGCCACTGGCACATGATGGGGAGAGGAAAAAATCTGCCCTCAAAAATAAAAGAATTAAGCGATCGGGTTGCAACTGTCGCGAGTGCAGGACGAATATTGGACTAATTCATATATCATGGTATGATAACTCGTCACTGAGGATTTTATCAGCCGCGTAAGAAATGGCAAAAACTACCGAAGGTACCCTGCTCTTAGTTAGTCGATTATACCTACAAACTTAAAGGAAAGTTTTTTGAAGATGAGCGACAAGACGCCAGTCATGAAGTTCTACAGAAAATCAAATTTCCCAAAAAATTTACATTAACAGAACAAAATCTGCGTTTTAAATACATACGTGGCATGTGTAACATGGGGAATCGGCATGTATGTGATAACCGCAGAGCCATCTCCCTTCCCAGCACCGCAGGAAAAATTTTAGCCCATGTTTCACTCAATCGCCTGAACAGGAATCTGGAGCAGGAAATGGTTTCGGAAACATACTGTCAATTCCGAACACTACGCGGAAACACTGACATGATTTTTGTGGCCCGCTAACTGCGGGAAAATGCCAGGAAATGAGGACCCACCTCAACAACATCTTCGTCGATCTGACGGAGGTCTCCGACTCCGCAAATCGTGACGGACCCTAGAGAATCATGGTGGAATCCGGGCGTCCCGGGCAGTCCAAACAAATGATGACAACTGCGCGATAGTATGACGGCAAGCGTCACGAACAGTGAAGAAGCCTCCCCAGTACTCGCGGTGTAAATTGGATGAAACAGGTCCGCGTACTCGCTCTCACCCTGCTATGTCTCACTTACATCGTTATGGCATGGACGCCAACTATGAGAGGCGGCCGGAGATTGACGTCGAATAACGAACCGACGGAAAACTGCTCGAAATCTGTCTCATGCAAGCATTTCGAAAGTACCCAAGGCCACCGTCCACGATCCATTGTTTGTGGATGACTCTGCGTCAAACACCCCAACGGAAGAGAACACAGCGGAGTGCGGACCCGTTCACCTCTAGGTGCTCCAGCTTCGATCTGACCGCCAGCACGGAGAAGACAGTGGCTATGCACCAACCTGCGTCAAATACTGACTAAACCGCACCTTATAATGTCAATGGTACTCGCCTCACACCAGTGGACAAATTCGCGTACCGTGAAAGAGCAATTTCAAGAGATATCAAGATCAATGACAAAATATTAAATTGGATCTCCAAACCCAGACTGGCCGTCGGTCAGCTAAAACTCTCCGCATGGAACTGTCGCGACACCCTACTCAGCACAAAACTGGGGATATATAAGGATGTTGTCATGGCAACACTGTACGGGGCGAAGACGTGGAATATGTATGGAAGCCGAGCAAGAGGACGCAATAATTTCCGTCTGAGCTGCCTTCGAAGAATACTGAAGGTGAAGTGGCAGGAAAAAATCTCCGACAGAGATCCTATAAGGAACTAGTTTCGTCAGCATCCACGCCAAACTGAGGCAGATACAACGGTGATGAAGCAGTCACAACATGAGAGTGGGTGACGAGCGACTGTTCAAACGACTATTCCACGGCAAAATCGATACGGGTGCTCGTAGGCGAAGTACACAAAAGTATCGCTACAAGGAAGCCTTGGAGACCTCCCTTAAGCACCAGCAAATTGACCCGGAGACCTGGGAGAACCTCGCTTAAAATTGGCAGATGTGGTGCATTGCCGCAAAGACTAGCGTATCAATCTTCGAAACCAATCGAATAGCCTTTGCCAAGGCAAAGAGAGGTCTGCAAGAATCAACTAATATGGGCCAATGACGTAAGCACCCAGGCCCTGCAATCGTGTCCGCACTATCGACAGACGATCCGAGCATGAATCAACCTCATCGGACATCTCCACACATTGTGTAATGGTAACACCAACAACCCGCATATAATTTACCAACACACCGCTATTGTCATCATCAGCTGAAACACTCCTATCCTTCTGCAAAACCTTACCCCCATCGCTCCCTGCCACCACCAATGTTTACTCAATCACAACATGTCCTTACTGTGGCCGCACATTTGAATCACGCATCAGTCAGTCACCTGCGAATCCGCCGCTTTGAGGCCGACTGGCTAGTGTCCGGAGGATCGACACACATCCGTCACCTCCCCACACTGCCCCCGGACATCCAGACACTGTATGAGTCTCTTCAATCATAAGCGCATACATGGCAGCGTGACTTGCCACGATATCAGGAGAAACCTACCTACACCCGAAAAATCCAACACCAGCAATAATAACCCGACTAGCAGCGTAACCACCACCAGCAAAGTGCCCACAATCCCATCCTGACTTTACTGTAACAGCGTCATTTGGACCGCGCATCGGTCTGATTGATCACCGCACTTAAACCGGCAAACCAGCACCAAAAGCCCTCAGATACACCCATCGCTCCTGTCTCACCTCGCACACAGTCCCAGGAAATTCGGCCATCACATGGGTCTATTCGGCCATATGAGTTACCGTGAAAATCTCCGATAAAACGCCGTAGGTCAGAGCACATCACCACACCTCCCCTTGCCTCCTCACACACGCACTCTCAGGCTACCCATGGACTTACTCCACAACATTCACATACACGCCACTCACGTAACATCAGGCAACTTTCTTATAGCAAGCATGCGACCAACTTTCCCAACGCCGTTATGGCCGGCGATGCGTCTCACGTCAATACATACGCATCTCACATGGGACGCATGTCCTTTTATATAGCCTGTTACATGCGGTGAGGTCCAGATCGTGTGTCGCACACGAGGACGGGTTGTTCAGATCTGCAAACCACTGTGCCGAATCCAATCACCATTCTTCGATAGGCTCGGACATCCGACAGGTGCATGGAAGCAGGAAGAGTGAGTACGACTAACGCTAAAAAAGCTATACTCACGGCCAATCGCGCGTTCCTTTCTTTAATATAAAGCGCCCGAATCAATCACGGTGTGCTAAGTGTTGTGGCTAGGAACGTTGACAAGTGACGGGATAACACCGTTTCCATGGGAGTATTTTGGAGTGACTGACGGACTGAGAATCGGGCTGCAAGAGTTCCTTCCTGATTTTGCTGTTATGGTACTCTCGTGCATGTGAGATCCGAGCCGAGCCCACCAAATCCTAGTACATTCAATGAGAGCCAGGTCATGTGTGGTACGCATAGACGGGCGGTTTAGTTTTTTCAGCCCTGGATGGATATGCTAAAAATTTTAAACGTGCAAACATGAAAAGCAAGACCTGAGAATACTAAACTATGCACAGTAAAGCGTACCCATCTATCCCTATCATAGGACGAGATAGGCGTTCCATTTTGGCCTGGAGATGCGATCTATACTCACTGCAGCATCAGCACAACGATGAGCAAATATTACAAGGAAAGACTATGGGGACCGAAGGTACCTTCTCGTTGGCCAACCATAACCAGACTTTATATATACAACCCAACCCGCTCGATGTTTGTGCTTAAGAATCCATTAGTTGAGTCACGCGCTCACGCTCTGACGACTACTACCAGGAGTACTCAAACTGTTTTCGAAGTGACATTCGCCGATGAAGACTGGTCACAGGGTAGAATATCGATGTTCCATTTTGCCTTAGAATTCTGATCCGGCACATTACATGCGGTCGCTCGAGAGTTCAACCGTCGCCGACGAAGGTGTCTATTGTATGTCACACCAGTGGGCACAGCAGCAGGGATTTGAGCGCGAATCAGTTTATGGAGAGGTGGACTTCCGCAGCACATAGCGCGCACTTTTTTCCCTCACCCACCAGACTTCGATGGTAAGACAATGTCAAGACAACCGGAAGTTGGCTCGAGCGCAGTTGCTGACAAAGCTAAACAGCCCGTCTACGCGTGCCCCAAACGACCTACCCCTAATCAATATGCTAGGTTGACACGGAAGGGGGAACTCGGATCTCACGTTGGTGCGAATGTCATTGCGGCCACGGTAAGGAGCCACTGAACCTGACTCCCAACACCCGAATCATTCACCCCACATATACACACAATACTGGCCACGAGGACTGAGTTATCCGGTCAGATGGTGGCCTTCGTTATAGTACCGAAGCGCGTCAGATTTATCATAGTGAAGAGTGGGCTGATGTGTTGTGGAAGGAGTTCCTAAGGTCAACCCCACTCTCTTCCCTCACCCATGCACCAGTCCACTGTCCGAGCTGGTCAGTCACCTGACGCAAGGGTTGGACCCAATGGCTAACAGAGATGCAACAATAGAAGCGAAGAAATCAGAAGAGACTGCCGCCCCTTGTGCATGAACCACCCGTATCTGCTTTTGTCTCTGATGATGGGTTCGAGCAGGAATCCGAAACGTCTGGATAAACAAGCTCTTCTCCCAGCGATAGTGTCTGCTTCTTCAAGACTGCTTCCTGGGACTCGTCTCTACGCTTCTTTTGGCAATGTATTTGAGCGCGATGCGCTCCGATCGACCCGGCGATGGGAAACCTTCGCCCTTCGGGAGGCCTCCACTTATGCAGAGATCCGGTTTCTGCACAGGTGTCTCGACAATAATGTGTTACCGAAGTGTATTTCATACAAGCTGCCTGTTAACATGGATTTGGCGAGACGAGCAGTATTTCAGCACGGCAGAAGGAGGATCCGAGTGCTCCTCCAAGACTGCCACGCGAGACTTCGCAAGTACCGTCAAGGGATTGACCAAGAAAAGACCAGATGCTGTGGGTTCAGGGGTGAGATCGGTACAAATCTGCTCCTTCAGAGGGCGACTGAACAAGCCCGTGACGCAGCACTGAAGAACGAATTCCGAAAGCTGCCCAACCCAACGTCGCCCAGAAACGACAAACTGGTGCACAACTTGTCGTCAAAGGGGCTGACGAAGGATCAGATGCAGGTTTTACGGCACGAAGCTTCATTTAACACGGCTGACGCCAAACCTGTTAACATGATTGCAGCAGTGGAATCAATCCTTTGTCAGACGGAGGCAACGGAGGAGACTAAGAACCTCATCCGACACCAAGTGTCGTCTCTCCTGATGGCCCACAGGCCGCGGGAGGTGCTTTCCAAGGTCAAACGTAATGCGCTTAGAGAACTCAAGGCCGACAAAGACCTGGTCATCGTGCCAGCGGACAAAGGACGCGCCACAGTTGTACTGGACAGGACAGACTACCTTTAAAAAGCCAAAGGTTCACTGGAGGACCGACAGTTCTATGCTCCATGTGCAACGAACCCTGTAAAAACGCTGACACGCGATATTAATGCCACGTTGTCGGCCTCGGAGAACTCAGGTGCGAAAACACCGACCGACAGACGCATGGCGAGACCCCAAGATACGGCTTTGGTCCGATTCTATGGCCTCCCTAAGGTGCACAAAGACCGCGCTCCTTTCCGACCCATCGTGTCGCTCAAAGGTACTCTAACGTACGGACTGGCTAAGTGGCTGTTCCGGCGTCTCAAGTTCCTGACCGCTGAGTCAGACACCACGGTCTCTTCGTCAGCACAATTCCTGGAGAAACTCAAAGGGGTAAGCATCCATCCAAATGAGGTCATGATATCTTTTGATACCACGTCCCTTTTACTTCTGTTTCCCAGGACCTGGCGATCGAGACAATTGAGCTGCTACTACAAAGCAAATACGATGAAACGGAGAACCGTCTTGGACACGCCCAAATCCTTCAGCTCCTGAAGCTCTGTCTCAGGACGTACTTCACGTTCAACGGGACAATCTACGAACAGGTGAAGGACACACCAATGGGTTCGCCGATTTCGGGATTCATCGCCGAGGCAGTCCTGCAACGGTTAGAATCGCTGGTCTTCCAGCACCACAGACCGAAATTCAGGGCCCGGTATGTGGATGATACCTTCGCCGTTATCGACCGTGACCACCTGCTGACATTCAAGGAACACCTGAATGCGGTCATCCCAGACATTCAATTTACGATGGAGGAGGAAGAGAACAACCAGCTGGCTTTCCTGGATGTCCTCGTATGCCGCAAAGATTGTGGTGAACTAAAAGCCAAAGTGTTCAGGAAAGCGACAAATACGATGCAAGTACTGAAGTTCAACAGTAACCACCCAATCAGCCACAAGCGCAGTTGTGTAAGGACGCTCTATCGGCGTGTCGAAACGCACTGCAGTGAGCCGGAAGACAAAATTGCCGAACTAAAATACCTCCGGCGGGTCTTGAAAGCCAATGGCTACCCGCGCAACTTCGTCGACCGGTGCATACGCAAAAGGGACGAAAGGTCAAACCGCACGGACACCAAATTTTGGCGAACGCTTCCGTATGTCAAGAACGTTTTGGAAGCTGTCGGTCGCCTTCTCGCACCACTTGGGGTTGGAGTAGCATGCAGACCGAAGACAATCATCAGACGTCGGTTAATGAAGCCGAAAGACCCACTGCCACGACAAGGAACGTCTGGAGTCGTTTATCGGATCTGGTGCAGTTGAGGACAAAGCAACTACGTCGGAGAAACCGGAAGACAGCTCTGAACGCGAATGGCCGAACACGCTGCAGCAGTGCGGAGAAATGACGCTAGCTCTCACGTTGCGGTTCATTCGACGACATCCGGTCACACATTCAAGTTCGAGGAGGCCGAAATTCTCGCTAGAGTTGACAACCGCGTGAGCCCGGAGCTGCTTGAGTCATGGTTTGCTGGCCCTCAGTCCATTAACAAGTGCAATGACCTTCCCCTTCCGTACTCGGTGCTGAGACTTTGCCTAGGCGGAGTAATTAGGCACGCGGGGGGCGCACAGGTGAACACCTTTCCCAACGCCAGGGTTGTTGGGGCAGATGGTCGAGCAATCTTCACACCAACATCCAACAAACGTGATGTAATTGCAGCAATTAACGAAGAGAATGTCAGCCATCAAACGGTCATCATACCAAGTCCAACGATCCCTGATGAAGGTGGAAATCGTGAATATTCATAGGTGTGCAGTAGCATGGCGACTGTATCCTATAAATACTGCAGCCCCTTGTGCATGGACCACCCGTATCTGCTACTGTCTCTGATAATGGGTTCGAGCAGAAATCCGAAACGTCAGGCGATCGTGTCTCCTTCTTCAAAAGCTGCAACAACCCGTCTTAGTGTATCACGCACACACACACACACCATGATCAGGCACCAGGTTGCGCCAAAAAACATGCTTCCCAGTGATGTGAGCTGGACATGTTCTGTTCGTGCGTGGGTGTTGTAGGGTGGGTTCGTCTGCGGTGTATGGCTGGTGGGGAGACGTGTGGTTATGGGGTCGCATAAAACCAGCAATCAAACATGAAGAGGTGGTACTGACAAAGAAAGTACATGAAGATTTTCTTGAGTTGCAGTGAATAGTATGTCATGGGTAGCGCACCTTGCAATCATTGCGTTCTTGGTGTTCAAGGCGACAACCTTACTATCATCCGCTGTTTTCTCCAGGCGGACGACCGGTAGCATGAGGTCGAGAGAGGAGAAGGTGAGGTTCTCATCATACAGTTCTTCTTCCTCTGCCGAACTGTTGACACCTTTAAATATATACTCCGCCGGCGGTCCCAGTTGATCGTAAAAGGCCTCTTTGGTGGCAAGCGACCACAGACGAGACTTCAAACCCAAAAGGGTGATGTCCGGATCCGGCTAATGCAAAATGATGCAATGTAAACCTCGAAAGTTAAGAAACATAGATGTACTTATTTGACTGAAACGTATGAAAAAGGACGAAAATAAGCTACAAATATCCCAGTTGCAATTTGCACATGAACAGAAATATTACCATAACTGCCGCACACTAAAAAACGGAAGTTCTAGTCAAAAACTAAGTAAGCCATACTTTGTCAACTACGCAAAAACCGTATTAATACAGGCTTACAAAATCAGTACTTCAAGCAAAGGTTACCTAACCTTTAAATAAACACACAACCTCCTCCGAATCTGTCAATAACAATCTGAGTGATTATTAGGCAGAATCGGACAGAAGGGAGACGTTATAAATTCAAGGTTAAAATCTTTCAAACCACCTTTCATAGATATTTGCAAATTGGCCAACTTGGACATGAAACTAATGGATTGTCTATGACCGAACAGGGTATCCACACACGAGTATGCAAACAATTTTGGAGTCCCAATTCGACATAAGCGTCTAGTATAGAAATTGGCCGAAATCTTCCAAGAGCCATAGACTCCTTGGAGATCTGAGATACTTTAACGATTCAAACAATAACCATCATGAGAATTCCGTTCTTTGAATAGCGGCCTAATGAAGGATAACTTCGCCGAACGTAAAGGCTGCAAAATAATTCTCTACCCTTCAGTATTTTCTAGTTATAACGGGGGAGGGGGTCTGAAAAGTGTCCTAAAATCTACTGTTAAAACACGCCGTTGACGATCTAATCATGGTTTGCAGAGTCAAAAAATCCCGTCAAAACAAAATGCACATCAATAATTACCACTTCTTCATCTACGAGCCTACCCAAAAGCCGCTAGGGTGGCACTGTTTACCCTGACAGCCTGGAAATTTCGTTCCTCTTTAGACAAGCTGCGGAACCGACAGGAACAGAGAATGGCTCCAGTCGTCCACCAAATTGTCCGCTAGAAAGAGGACGTTGTGGCTCTCACGTCTCTGGACAGGGACAACTGGAGGCGCACATCCGACAGCAGAGCAACGAAGGGCTGGATTCCGCTTGCCATCAGGGAGGGCGACATGAGAAAGCTGCCCTGCCTGTCGCAGGCCGTCAATGACCGTCGCATTATCGTAAGCTTACCATTCCGCAGAACCAAACTCGTTAGGGTCATAAGTGTCTATGTCTCCCGTCCACAAAAGATCAGCTCCGAGGATGTGAAAAACAAAGCCTTTAAGAACCCCGACGCACTGCTAGTTGATGCGACGACGATCAGTAGTACTAGTATTAGTAGTAGAAGTAGTGGTGGTAGTAGTAGTAGTAGTAGTAGTAGTAGTAGTAGTAGGAGTAGTAGTAGTAGTAGTAGGAGTAGTAGTAGTAGTATTCGTGGCAGCAGATCATCAGATTTATTAACGGAAAGGTAGACGAACGCCTCTGAACTCCTTTTTTGTTACAATAACGTCATAAAGACAAAGTGTAAGGCGTGTCAAAGAAAATTAGGTAAGCAATTACATACAACAAGCACTGGTTACTGGTATAAATTTGTCTACGAACGCCGTCTATGTCGTAATCGTAGAATAACCAGTACGCGGTACTGAATTGATCAAGTAATATCGAAGCAAACGCGTATGCTTCGGTCAGAAGATAACGGAAAGTCATAAAATAATGCTACTTGAATATATAGAGTAACATGTTTTGTAACGTATAACGTCGGGGTGGGTGGTACAGGTGGTAGATTTGTTAGTTTCTGATGCCGTGGAGGTACATATCCCTGTACTGGTCAAGCTTGCTATTAAATGTTTCCATGGATGAGGACATGACGACGTCCGCAGGCAGGGCATTCCATGCCTTTACCACTCTGTGTCCAAAGAAGGACCTCCCTGCGTCCAGTCTCGCCCCTGTCACACGTAATTTTAGAGGATGTCAGCAAAGGTAGGACCGAGGGGACTCCCCATTTCCACTCTGTCAATTTGTCTATATAATTGGTTGTTAAAAAGAAATTGAACGTCCTTTGTGCACAATTTTAATGCGTCTCGTAGTGTTTCAGGTGGCAGACGAGTTTCAGGTGCATGGGTGCATATGATGTCTATTGTTTCATCCTCGGCCCTACCTTTGATGACACCTTTATGGGTCATCTAGAAGAAAAAGTATCCGCGAAATTGAATATGTTGCCACTGTAGAAAAGATATGTGGATGATGTTTTCGCTATTGTTGAAGACATTAAGGAGGCTGAGGAATTGCTTTCTATTATGAATAAGCTGCGTCCAAGGCTTACATTTACAGTGGAGAAGGAGCAAGACAACCAACTATCCTTTTGGGACGTTCTTATGTTTGGACAAGAAGGTATAAGACGTTCCGTTTTCCACAATAATACTTGGAAGGGACATAACTTGCATTTTTTTAGTTTTATACCCATACAATGGAAACGTAACTTGTTATACGCTCTTTTCCAAAGAGCTAGGAGCATTTGTTCTAATGACACACTGGATGCATAATTTGCACGCCTCGAAGGAAGCTCTGCTTAAGCGAGGATATCCTGCGCGTTTCATCCACAAGTACAGCAACTCTACACGGCTAAAATTGACAGAACATTTAGCTCCTAAAAAGCCCGTATTTATAACTCTGCCCTTTAAGGGCGACAATATTTTAAATACTATCAAACGTCAGCTGCGTTCCACCATTGAAAGGACATACAATGCAGCCGAACTCGTATTATGCAGTCCTACTAAGCCTCCTCCGATTCCACGGGCAAAGGATGCCTTGCCAATGCACGCCACTTCAAATTGTGTTTATGAATTAACATGTACTTGCGGATGCAAGTACATTGGGCGAACGCAAAGGCAGTTGGCAGCCAGGTCTATTGAGCACCTACCTTGATGGCTCCTAAAGCAAAAAAATAAAATCCCGCGTTCCTCCATTACGAAACACCTGCTTGATAGTGGTCACTCCGTTGACCCCAAAACTTCCTTCCGAGTACTTGTTCGGGCACGAATAACTCGGACATTGCGTTACCTACAGGCGGCCTATATAAGACGGGTGAAACCAGATGTTCAAACAATTAAACAGTGTAAACAAGGCACTTTACCCCATTCCGCTGAGACTTGTACCTATTCCTTGATTCGATTATCTTATCCCTGAGATAAGCTTTCCACAGCGTTTGCTTACAGTTTACTTCAACTTTTAGTGTACCCTTTAGCCATCGGGGCCTGCTGGTGATTCCCCTTTTTGACACAGGGCAGTATCTGGCGATAAGTTCATTCAATACGGCCTTAAGTTCCAACCAGTCCTTGAGAACACACCCCATGAATGCTGCTTTCCAGTCTCTACGACGCATGTCGAGACGCATTTGGTTGAGGTCACCACGCCATATGCTGCGTCTGATCACGATGCTTTGATCAGGTATAAAGAGAGAATACTTTCACTGTAGGACTATATGGTCGCTTTTTCCGAAAGGAGGTAGACAGCTTACGACACCAACGCTTTTAGGTGCCTTTGTCAATACAAGGTCTAAGCAGTTAGCTAGCTGCCCTTCACGTGGTCTGGTTGGAGATAAGACGTGTTGTGTGAGATGCGATCTTTGCACTGCTTGCATGAGGCGGTGATCAAAGTTAAATTCTGAGCCCCGGGCAGAAGTCAGATTCCGGTCAATATTCAGAGCGTTAAACTCGCCCACAATCGTGACATTGGGTCGGTTCGAAATCGCTTCTTATTCCTCTACTAGACTACTGTCTGATTGCGGGTCGTTCCTCGGTGGGCGGTAGACCGTCAGGATCTCGAGAGCTTGTGACCCCCGCGTTTTGATGGTGATCCTAATTGTTTCAGTTGTGCGCGCGAACTGCCCCCCTTTTTCTGACGCAAAAAGGCCACATTTGACATATGTTAGCATACCCCCACCTTGATGTCCAAATCTGTCCTTTCTGAACAAGTGATAACCGGATAAAGAGACTTGGCGATCGTCTACGCTCGCGGACGGCCACGTTTCAGTTATGGATATTACATCGCGTAAGGTCTCACTAACGTAGAACTTAAGCTCATCTAATTTAGATAGCAGACTTTGCGCATCGGAATATAAGCATTTTAGCTTTTTTGCCTTTGGTAAGCCGGCTATATCGCCGCCTTTGTCATTTGCTTCAGCTGTGGCGACATACGCACGGGCCGTATCCATATAAACCGGGACGGCCGCTCGATTATGCAGTTGTTGTAGATAACCAGACTTTGTTCGCCACTCCTTTGTCGCAGCCTTAGCTCCTGGACTAACAGTCGGCGTTTTAGCCGCTCCGACGTTGCGTAACCCGGCTGAAAAAACTCCTCGCTGGGATTATTTTAACTTAGAATGTCTTGAGATGATGAGATCAACATGCTCTATGCAAATAAGAACAATTTTGAGGGGCCTGGGATGCGGTGGGATAGCGGATTCAGTTGTGCGCTTTCCAGGTCTAAAGGCTTTTAACACTGAAAATTCTTCGTTAGGTTGATGTATTGTCTTTAGAAGACCTTGAAACAAGCCGAAATCAGCTAGTACGCGTCCTTTAGGTATGTCTGTATATGGCTCCTGAAGTCCGTGTATAACTAGGCACTGTTCTCGGAGGGGCCTGTCTTTGGTGACTTGGGGGTTCCTGGCGAACCATTCATGACGATATTCTGGTTGCATTTGCTTTAGGGACCTTTTCTTGAACTAACAGCATCGTCTTTGTGGCAATACTGCTCCTGTCTTTTATGTCAATAACAAGGATATCCGCATTTTCCGCGTCTGTGTCTACGCGGGCGCTGGCGGTTTATGTCGATTGTTCAGATGAGCTCTGCTTTTCCACTCTAGGAAGTTATTTTCGCCGAGTACTCCGAAGTCGTCCGATTTCTGTCGCTCCCTTTTCAGTCATCAATTTGTTTTGATTTAACCTCTTCTTTTGATGTGACCTCAGCTGCATGTGAACGGTCTGAGTCTTATAATTAGTTGCCTTTCTTTTCTTCTCGGTCTCATTGCGGGGGACGATGGTCGTCTGCCTACTGCTCTTCTGGGGCGGATTAATACCATGGCTTGACATATTCTCCGTGACCTCTTCTGTGGTTTCCGTCCATGCGGTAGTTTTTTTATGCAGAATCCTTTCACCTTCGTCTGTCTGCCGGTCGGACAGCTTCTAGCCTACCAGTGAGCTGATCATTCTTTCTCAGCCAGGTACATATCAACGATAAGTGTGCACTGCAATTATCACTTCGAACATAGTTTGCGAATTTGGAGTGCCGTTCAATACCGCTCTTGGTAGTAGTAGCACTATTAGTAGTAGTAGTAGTAGTAGTAGTATTAGTAGTAGTAGTAGTAGTAGTAGTAGTAGTAGTGTTAGTAGCTGTAATACTAGTAGCAGTAGTAGTAGTAGGTAGTAGTAGTAGTAGTAGTAGTAGTAGTAGTAGTAGCAGTAAGTAGTACAAGTACTGCCAATAGCGGCATTAGTAGTCCTAGCAGTGAGAGCAGTACTGGCAGTGGTGGTAGTGGTAATGCTAGTGGTAGTAGTAGCGGTGGTGGTAGTAGGATTAGTAGTAGTAGTAGCAGCAGTAGCATTAGCAAGTAGTACTAGTATTGGCAGTAGTAGTAGTAGTAGCAGTAGTAATAGTAGTGGTAGACGTACTAGTAGTAGTACTCCTAGTAATGATACGAGAAGTAGGAGTAGTGGTAGTAGTAGTAGCAGCATTAGTGCTAGTAGTGATAGGAGTAGTATGAGTTAAAGTAGCCGCAGTGGTAGTGCTAGTAGTGAGAGCAGAAATAGGAGTAGTGCTCGAGGCAGTGGTGATGCTGGTGGCAATGGTAGTACAAGCAGCATTAGACGTAGTAGTAGTAGTAGCAGAAACAATACTATTATTAGCAGTAGCTGTGGTAGTAGCAGCAGTACTGGAAGTAGTAGTAGTAATAGTAGTGGCAGTAGTAGTAGTTGTTGTTGTTGTGTAATAGTGGTAGTTGTTCTTGTTGTTGTGTAATAGTAGTAGTTGTTCTTGTTGTTGTTGTTGTGTAATAATAATAATAAGAATAGTAGTAGTAGTAGTAGTAGTAGAAGTAGTAGTAGTAGTAGTAGTAGTAGTAGAAGTAGCAGTATTAGTGCCCATAGTCATAGGAGTAGTAGTAGTGGTTCGAGTAGCCGCAGTAGCAGTGCTAGTAGTGAGAGTAGTAGTATCAGTAGTGTTAGTGGTAATGCTGATAGTAGAAGTAGTAGAAGCGGAAATGCTAGCGGTAGGGGTAGTAGTAGCAGAAGCGACAGTAGTAGTGCTAGCAGTGAGAGGAGTAGCAGGAGTAGTAGTGGTATTAGTAGTAGTAGCGGCAGTAGTAGTGCAAGTAGTAATAGGAGAAGTAGCAGTAGTAGTAGTAGTAGTAGTAGTAGTAGTAGTAGTAGTAGTAGTAGTAGTAGTAGCAATATTAGAAGTGGTAGTAGTAGCCGCAGTAGTAGTGTTAGTAGTGACAGGGGTAGTAGCAGTAGTAGTGGTAGTAGTAGTTGTTCTTGTTGTTGTTGTAGTTGAAGTAGTAGTGCAGTAGATGTGCTAACTCATGAAATGTCAACCAAAATTTCGAAATGCGTTCTCGTTTCGAAAAGATAAATTAAGTAGTGTTGTGAAACTAATCATGATGCAACATAAATCTATAATGATCTAGTTACCTCAGGCTGTGGGCTTTCGAAAGAACTTATTTTCTGCTGCATGCAAAATCTATACTCTGCAAAAAATGACTACTTAATTAGCATGCAATTTTCTCATTGATTTTTGATGCCATTGAAAATTCAATTATATTTCATGAAAAGAATGCCTAAAAATATTCATTCTTTTACTTATACGGTAGAAAATCACGTCTTCTTCCACTTTCATACTCAGAAGAAGAGTATAATTCGGTTTTAAAAAAGTTTCTAATTGAGAGATTTTTAATTACCGTTAAATATCCGTTCATAAAACGTCATGTATCTGCATTTACGAATGTGGCTTGTAAAGTTAACAATACTGCTCAATGCCACTACTTAATTTCATGTACCTCATATGGTCTCCTCTTAACACCGTAGAGAATTGCACGGTTTTCCGTACACGGAAAATATACGGCTTATAGTTTTGAAATCCTGAATGCAAGTGTAGAAGCAGGTCGGGTTCAAAATTATTCGGGAAATAGAAAAGTTTTTCAAAACCGAATTATACTCTGCCTTTGAGTATGAACGTGGAAGAAGACGTGATTTTCTACCGAATAAGTAAAAGAATGAATATTTTTATACATGTTTTCGATGAAATATAATTCAATTTTCAAGGGCATTGAAAATCAATGATCAAACTGCATACTAATTAAGTAGTCATTTTTTGCAGAGTATAGATTTTGCATGCAGACCAAAATAAGTTCCTTCGAAAGCCGACACTTTGAGGTAATGGGATCATTATAGATTTATGCTGCGTCATGTTTAGTTTTACAACAATACTTAATTTATCTTTTCGAAACGAGAACGCATTTCGAAATTTCGGCTGACATTTCACGAGTTAGCACATCCACTGTAGTAGTAGTAGTAGCAGCAGCAGCAGTAGTAGTAGAAGTAGTAGTAGTATTACTAGTAGTAGTAGCAGCAGAAGCGACAGTAGTACTGCTAGTAGTGGTAGGAGTAGTACCGGTAGTGGTAATGGTAATGCTAGCGGTAGTGGTGGTAGTAGTAGCACTAGCAGTGGTACTAGAAGTAGTAGTAGTAGTAGTAGCAGCAGTAGTGGTGGTGGTGGCAATAGTAGTAGTAGTAGTACTACTACTACTTGTAGCAGCAGTGATATTAGTACCCCTAGTAGTGATAGAAGCAGTAGCAGCAGTGGTGGTGGTAGTAGTAGTAGCAGTAGTAGTAGTATTAGCAGTAGTAGTAGTAGTAGTAGTAGTAGTAGTAGTAGTAGTAGTAGTAGTAGTAGTAGCATTAATAGTGGTAGTACTAGTAGTATTATCAGCAGTAGAAGTGCTCGCAGTGATAGCACTAGTAGCAGCAGTAGAGGTAGTAATAGTACTGGTAGAGGCAGAATCAGACTTAGTAGGCATAAATGTAGTAGCAGCAGTAATGGCAATAGTAGTAGTAGTAGTAGTAGTAGTAAGAGTAGTAGTAGTAGTGGAGGTAGTAGTAGTAGTAGTAGTGGTAGTAGTAGTAGTAGTAGTAGTAGTAGTAGTAGTAGTAGTAGCAGCAGCAGCAGCAGCAGTAGTAATGTAGGGGTGTCAGCGGTGGGTTCACGTAATGGTCGTGGTGGTCGCTCACTTGCTTGCAGGTGAGACTGCGACTAGCGTCCACTTGCTGGCACTCAACTCTCACCTGTGGCTCCATGTAGCTGGACTCTGCTCAGCGGCCACACCCCGGGCAACCGTCTCGACCGGTGGGCTAAACCAGGTGAGGGGGCCCTGTGCGCTGTGCCGTGTGCACAGGGTTTGCGGATTCCGCTGGATGAAAGGTCGGATGGAACCTTGCGTCGGCACCGTAGTGACGTGGTTCGTCTCTGCACGCCGCTGGACAGCCGGTGACGGGATGGATCTCCACATCGACATCGCCTTGACGCGCCCACCTACGCCGTCGGAGACCGCGGCTTACGGCGAATTCGAGTCGTTCTCCACTACAACCCGAAGTCGTGGTCACATAGTGGAGTTCGGCCGTGCCACAACGGCGCATTGCAGCCCTATTCAGGGATGGCACTGCCAGCCCCCACGAGGGGAAGGGCCTAGAATAGGTGGCCTAAACATTGCTGGGTACCACGCCGTCTCCAGGCTAGCCAGGGCCGCAGACGTCTTATGATGGTCGAAACAATCAAAATCGAAACAACAACAATAACAATAACAACAACCATACTCATTCTCCTCATCCTACCTCTTCTTTCTCTTTTTCTGCCTATTCTTCTCCTTCGTCACCTTCTTCTCCATCTCCTTTCCGTCACCCCACTCGTTGTCACCAGACTGGCAGGGTGGGCCCACTCACTCTGGCAGCCTGGAATGTTCGTTCGCTTTTAGACAATCCCAGGAGCAACCGACCGGAACGGAGGACAGCGCTAGTGGCACGAGAAATGGCCCGCTACAAGGTGGACATCGCCGCACTCAGCGAGACCCGTTTCTCCGAACTACGCCAACTGGAGGAGGTGGGTGCCGGCTACACCTTCTTCTGGAGCGGTCGACCCAGGGCTGAGCGACGGGACGCGGGTGTCGCCTTCGCCATTCGGAACGACATCGTGGGACGACTGCCCTGTTTGCCGCAGGGCATCAACGATCGCCTGATGAGCCTCCGTCTGCCTCTCCGTGGTGGGGGCACATTCGCCACCATCATCAGCGCCTACGCTCCGACGATGACCAACCCCGACGCCGTCAGAGACAAATTCTACGAGGACCTGCACGCCCTCTTGGCGACTGTGTCGAAGGCGGACAAGTTGATTGTCCTTGGTGACTTCAACGCCCGCGTCGGCACAGACCATACTGCCTGGAGAGGAGTGCTGGGTCCCCACGGTCTCCGCCGCTCAAACGACAATGGTCTGCTGCTTCTCCGCACCTGCGCAGAACACCGCCTCATCCTGACGAATACGTTCTTCTGTCTGCCAGAGCGAGAGAAGGCCATCTGGAGGCATCCTCGGTCGCGCCAGTGGCACCTGCTGGACTATGTCCTCATCCGGAGTCGGGATCAGCGGGACGTGCTGGTGACGAAGGCGATCGCGGGTGCTGACGGGTGGACCGACCATCGCCTCGTCATCTCGAAGATGCGTATTCGCCTACAGCCTCGCAGAAGACCACAAGGTAAGAGACCCCCAGGTAAGCTGAATGTTGCCTTGTTGTCTTTGCCCGCTCATCATCTTCGCTTCAGCAATGAGTTAGCTCAACGGCTAGACAACCTCCCCATCGCCGATGCCGCCGCTGCCGAGAACGCCTCTGTGGAGAACCGCTGGTGTCAAGTGCGAGACACGGTCCAGTCGACGGCGCTCGCCGTCCTCGGTCGCGCTCCCCGCCAACACCAGGACTGGTTCGACGACAACGACGCCGCCATCAGAAATCTGCTAGCTCAGAAGAACCGCCTACACAAAGCCTACGTAGATCACCCCACTGATGCCACCAAAGCTGCCTTCTACCGCAGTCGCCGCCAACTTCAGCAACGACTGCGCGAGATGCAGGACGCCTGGACTGCTCGCAAAGCTGAGGAGATCCAACGGTACGCGGACCGCAACGCATGGAAGAACTTCTTCTCTGCGATCAAAGCTATCTACGGTCCGCCGACGAAGGGCGCTGCTCCTCTCCTCAGCGCCGACGGCAACACTCTCCTGACTGAGAAGACGCAAATCCTGCAGCGATGGGTCGAGCATTTCCGAGGCGTCCTCAACCGCCCCTCCGTCATCTCCGACGCCGCCATCGCCCGCTTGCCGCAAGTGGAGACGAACGCGGACCTCGACCTCCCGCCATCTCTCCAGGAAACCATCAAGGCCGTGCAGCAGATCTCCAGCGGGAAAGCACCCCGGAGGTCCCCTACTGATGGATCACCTGACTGCGCTCTTCCAAGAGATGTGACGTCAAGGTGAAGTCCCGCAAGATTTCAAAAACGCAACCATCGTGCATCTCTACAAGCGCAAAGGGAATCGCCAAGTCTGCGACAATCACCACGGCATCTCCCTGCTGGACATCGCCGGGAAGATCTTTGCCCGCATCGTTCTCAACCGCCTCAGTAACCATCTCGAACAGGGCCTTCTGCCGGAAAGCCAATGCGGCTTCCGTCGTCATCGTGGGACCACGGATATGATCTTCGCCGCCCGTCAACGTCAGGAGAAGTGTCAGGAGATGCGGACCCACCTGTACTCTACCTTCGTGGACCTGACGAAAGCCTTCGACACGGTGAATCGTGAAGGACTGTGGAAGATCATGCAGAAATTCGGCTGTCCGCAGCGATTCACTCAGATGGGGCGTCAGCTGCACGACGGTATGATGGCGCGAGTCACGGACAACGGAGCTGTCTCAGAGGCATTCGCAGTGACCAATGGAGTGAAGCAGGGCTGCGTACTGGCGCCTACCCTCTTCAGTCTTATGTTCTCTGCCATGCTGATGGACGCCTACCGCGACGAACGCCCCGGGATCCGCATCGCCTACAGGACGGACGGTCACCTCCTGAATCAACGGCGGATGCACTTCCAATCGCGCGTATGCACAACCACCGTTCACAAACTCCTCTTCGCCGACGACTGCGCCCTAAACACCACCTCGGAAGAGGATATGCAACGGAGCATGGACCTGCTCTCCGCCGCCTGCGAGAACTTCGGTCTGGTCATTAACACGCAGAAGACGGTGGTGATGCACCCACCGCCACCCAACTTAGCCACAGCCCCCAACGCGCCGCCGCAAATCAGCGTGAACGGAACCCAACTGGGCAGTACTCTCTCCCGCAACACCAAGATCGACGGCGAAGTCGCCAACAGGATCTCGATAGCCAGTCAAGCCTTCGGTCGCCTCCAAAGCACAGTTTGGAATCGTCACGGTCTTCGGCTGAGCACGAAGCTGAAGATGTACAAGGCCGTCATCCTGCCGACACTACTGTATGGAGCGGAGACTTGGACGGTGTACGCAAAGCATGCACGTCGTCTGAACCACTTCCACCTCAGTTGTCTTCGTCGCATCCTGCGGCTGAAGTGGCAGGATCGAATCCCCGACACTGATGTGCTGGAACGGACGGGAATCCTCAGCATCTACGCCATACTGAGGCAAATTCAGCTGCGCTGGAGCGGCCACCTGGTGCGCATGGACGACGAGCGACTACCCAAACG